ATAACTACCACAAAGCACATGAGATTGAATGTTGCGAAATTATCAGAAACAAATGTGGCTAGAAGAAATATGACAAGATACCTCCTCTTGTACTTTTGTAGACATGCAGATCCCCTGGCATATAATATTGTATATAATATTTTTGAAAACATTTAAAAAAATTTTCTACTTTAAAAAATATGTTGACTGGCATTAATAGATTTCTTTTTATTTTAAAATAAAATTCTTTGCTAAAAGAGATGGCTTTGTGGGATCTAGGAGGGAGGACACAGATGAAAATCTAGCTGATGTAAAAATAAAATATAGCCCAAAAATCTATTTCAAAAATATTTCTTTACCAACAGTAGCAGCCTAGAGAAGAGGTTCTTAACCTAGAATCCAGGAATAGACTTTTGGGGAGATTTGTGAACTTGGATGAAAAAAAAATTACATACTTATTTTCACTAACCTCTAAGTGGGATTTCACATTTTCTTTAATTATTATTAAAACTGTGTTATTCTGAGAAGGTATCCATAGGATTCAACAGACTGCCAAAGGGGCCCATAACACAAAAAATGTCAGGAACCTTTGGCCTAGAGTATCTCTAAGGTGTCTTCCAGCTCTGAAATTCCACGTTATGACTTTGCACACACTACATCTATTTCTCAAGCTCTACAGATCACATGACTGATTCCAGAGCTAGGGGTACTTGTGAAAACAGCTTCTCAGCTAGGAATTACTACACTAACTGGAAATCAAAGCATATTGCCAAATAAGGTTCCACCCTCAAACACACACATACTTTCCACATACCCACACACATACATATTCCAGATGTACTGAGCAACCAGTTGTTTATTCCCTCTCTCATGGAAGGCAGACACAGGAATAGGAAGTGTCCTAATTGATAACATTACCCAGCCTCAGGTGAATCAGAATCAGAGAACCAGCTGGATTCTTCTGTGCCACAGAAAGTGGCAACAGGAGCTTGCCAGCCTGTCTAGACTTACCTATTACTATGAATCACACAGTATTGCAGCCAAGTCCTGATGTTTGTGTCCAACCAAGGTAGGGCACTTACCTACCTTTACCTCTGTCAGAGACCTCTGACATTTCAAGCTACCAGGAGATGAAGGAAGCCAGATATGTGAAATCTACCAAAGTTCCTGCTAGTATACAGGCAACTGTAGAGACTTTAGATGCACCAGCAAAAGCAAACACAGGCTTGCAACCTTAGACTAAAGCAAATTTCAGTTGAAAGATGAACTGAGAAGCATGGCATAGTAGATAGAAAGCAGACCTTGGAACTCAGTGCCCTAAACAATTCTCTTAAGACAGTAAGTCAGGGGTAGCTAGGTGGCGCAGTGGATAGAGCACCAGCCCTGAAGTCAGGAAGACCTGAGTTCAAATCTGGCCTCAGACCAAACACTTGACACTTACTAGCTGTGTGACCCTGGGCAAGTCACTTAACCCCAATTGCCTAAAAGTAAAAAAAAAAAAAGACAATAAGGCAAAGACAAGGTACCTCCCTGTACTGGTGGAGGGACTTTCTTTATCTTGCAGTTCCACATATCAATGAAATAATAGATCTAATCCCTATCCCATAAACTCTTCTTGTTGTTCAGTTCAGTCATTTACAATCACGTCCGACTCATCATGACACCATTTGGGGTTTTCTTGACAAAGATAATGGAGTGGTTTGCCATTTCCTTCTCTAGCTCATTTTACAGATGAGGAAACTGAGGCAACCAGGGTTAAGTGACTTGCCCAGATGTCACACAGCTACTAAGTGTCTGAGGCCAGCTTAGAACTTGGCGAAGATGAGTCTCCCTGACTCCAGGTCCAGCACTCTATCCACTATGATACCTAGCCACCCATATCATAAACAACAAAAAAAGATATTCAAAGTATTTCAGAATATCTAGGATTCGTATTTCTTTAAATTCTTGTTTTAACTCTTCAACAGTTTTAAAGTGATATTTCTATTGATCACTTATACTATTTATGAATATTATAGCAATAGATATTCATTAATGTTATGTTTCTTAATATAAGTGCTATTTAAGAAATTGCATATTTCATTTTTTGAGGGAAAAAAAGAATCCCTGTATCACAAATTTAAAGCTGGAAGAGCCTTAGTCACATCATTTCATTTTATAGCTGAAAATGAGGCTCAGAGAGGTTATGTCATACAAGGAATGAACAACAGAACTAGGAAGTGAATCATGGTTGGATTGAACTCTATCCTCGTGACTGATGTGTGTAGTATGACCTACAACTGCAGCAGTGAAATTGGTGGCTGGCAGGGTATTGGGATTCCTGAGTCTCCCATTGCTTCCCATAGAACAACAAAATTCCCATGGCAAAAATAGGTATTGCACCTTTAAATAAGGAAATTAAGGACATGTGTTTTGTTAATATAGCTGAAATGATATTTTGAGGAGGATCTTGACTACCTATTTAGAAGAAAAAAATAACTGTCAACGGACAGAGTTTGCATTACAAATTATTCGAGAACATGGAGGCAGAACCTTGGGATTCTAACAGAGTCACAGATTTAGAGTTGGGAGGGGCCCCAGAGGCCATCTAATCCAATGCCCTCATTTTACAGATGAGGAAACTAAAGGCCACACAAATTAGCGGTAGAGCTGGAATTTGAACCAAGGATTCTGATTCCAAATCCAGCGCTATTTTCCACTATATACCACATTGTCTCCCTAATGAGCTACTGATTCACTTTATTATGCCTGTGGGCCTACTAGTTTTCATTCTCTCCTACCCTACTATTGTGGGAAAAGTACCAAACTCAGGGGTAAGAGGCTTGTATCCTGGTCCTGTCTTGGGAAAGTCATTTAGTCTTTCTAGGCCTCAGTTTCCTCACCTGTAACATGAGGGGACTGGTGATCTCTGAATTCCCTTTTTTTTGGGGGGGTTGTTAAATTCCCTTTCTTAGACAGTCTAGTACTCTAGGATATTACATCAAAACCTCTCAATGAAAAATCAGGAGGACCAGTAAGACATGACATAGAAGGGTTTATATTCTTTGCAGAACAAAGTTCGATAGAATACGTAGTTTGGGAGTTTAGGGGCAATGATCTCAAGGTCATTGCCACTGCTCTAGCATACAAGGTTTAGTCTTACAACATTAACAAAATAGTGCCTCAGGGATGAACTTAACCAGGGTTGATTAAGCATGGGGAAAATTGCTGTCCAAATTCACATTAGCCACACCAGAATAAAAAAGCGAACTTTGATTACATTAGGAATGAATTCTTCCTAATGGGAATAGAAGTGGTGGTTACTATTCTTCTGATTTTTTTTGTGTGTGATCACTATCTACATAGTTTTCATTTTGAAAATCAGTTCATTAAAGTTTGAGACAACTACATTACATAACCACTGTTGTTGTTCAGTTATGCCCGATTCTTCATGACTCCATTTGGTGTTTTCTTGGCAAAGATATTGGAGTGGTTTGCTATTTCCTTCTTCAGCTTATTTGACAGATGAAGAAACTTGGCCAGGGTCATATACTGGTAAGTGTCTGAGGCTGGATTTGAACTCACAAAGATGAGTCTTCCTGACTTCAGGCCCGGCACTCTATCCACTGTGCCACTACAAGTGGATGCAACTGTACATACAGAAAAATGTTTAACTAGTTCTCCAGAAAAAGTACACAGAATACATTTTTAGATTTAATCTGCATTATTAATATTTTCACTGCCACTTTCTTAAGTTGAGACAAACAATAAATGAAGCCTTATTTGTAGTCTGCCAATGCTCACAGAAAATTTAACAATTGGCTCTCAGGAACTTATGAGCTGGTTCCAGCATACTCCCAAATGTCAATATGTCAAGCACCTGTCATTTCCCTAACATATATACTCCATTAAGGCAGTTTGAAACTCATTTTTACCTTAGCAGCTAAGTCTTACAGAGTTTCCTGGGACTTGGTGAGGTTGAGACTTGCCTTGGCTCACCCAGCAGTAAGTGCCAGAACCCAGATATAAAAACCACATCCTTTGACTTTAAGTGATTCTTGAGTGATAAAGTAGAAAGTGCTTTATAGTTAAGAGGTTGTTGTTGGTTTTGTGTAGTTGTATCTGATTCTTTGTGACCCCAAGAACTTGTCCATGGGGTTTCTTGGCAAAGACACTAGAGTGGTTTGCTATTTCCTTCTCCAGTATGTGCTCATTTTAGAGATGAAGAACTGAGGCAAATAGTAGTTAAGTGACTTGCCCAGGGTCACACAGCTAGCAAGTATCTGAGGACAGATTAGAACTCTGATCTTCCTGACTTCAGGCCATTGCTCTCTCCCTTGCAATGCTTAGCTGCCCCTAGTTAGAGGACTTTCATTCGAATCAAGACTTTAACATTTAATCTTTGTGTGATTATGGGCAAATTATTTCACCTGCCTGGGCCTCAGTTTCATTCTCTATAAAATGAGGGGAGTGTTTGCTTTCAGTTCTAGGTCTATGATTCTGTAAGATTAGCATTATATCATGCAGCCCTTCTCTACATGACTTTTCAGTCAAATTTTATTATTCTCCTCTAAATTAGCAGCTCAAAAATACAAGGGATGCCTAATTCATACCTTGGAAAATGCTTACATACAAAATACTCAAATAATTAATATTGCAGCTTAAAAAAGTAGATCTCACATTTTTGACACTTGTATTATACAGACCAAATCAAGGCCCCTCTGACCCAGTTACACCTTTAGGTGACAAAATGTCACCTAAAGTATGCTGAGCTTATGTATAGGAAACAGATTTGGTGTTTGGGGCTGTTTCCCTGAAGATTAGCCTTTGGTAAATCCTGTCTTAGCAGTCAGAGTTTTATGTTGCAGAGTGAAGTAGGATCTGGCTTTCATTAAAATCAAAAAAAAATCTGTAAAAACACCCTGGGCTGGGTTTCCCGGCCAAGCTTTTCGGGAAGCGTTTGCTATGCTAACAAACAGTAACGCTGTGCCACAGCTGAGGGTTTAGCCAGAGTTTAGGAAAGAGCAGACTGACTGGTAAGGTGACCTGGACATTTTTAGTTTATTGTGTGGAAGCAAGGACAAATGCCATTACCAAAGGAGAAGGACAGCATGTAAACATTCCGGGAGAAAGGAAGAAAAGGAAAAACAAGGAGAGGATGGCACAATATTTCCAAGACATAAGACCCAGCTTGCCTGGCTTTGGGAAAAATGCAAAAGGAAGACTTTGTCATAAGCTGGAAAGAACCCAAGGATTTTAACAAGTAAATGGCCAGCAAGCTATACCTGGAGAAGACTGCTTAATGCAGAGTAACTGGATGCTATGATGTGTCAGGTAACCTGACACCACAGCAAATATTAACTCTAGAAACTTTTACCTTGGAGTTTCTCCACCTTGCAGTAAGGTCCAATTGTGTTCGTGTGTGTGTGTGTGTGTGTGTGTGTGTGTGTGTGTGTGTGTGTGTGTGTACACAGTGCAGGAACGTGAGGAATCATTGGTTGATTGGAGAAGTCAATGAGACTGCAGGACATGGTTTGTGAAAGACAAATCTTTCCCCTTTCGTCCCCTTGAAAACAGAAGGTGTATTAAAAGAATCTGAAATCTACTTTTGAATGTATCTCTAGCACTGGACCCCAACCAGCGTGCCCTGGAGGCCAAAACAGTACAGGAATATACAGTAACTCCACCTCCACACAATCTCTCCTGCTTAAGAAAATGAAAAAAATCTGTCAAATAATTACAGTCATAAGCTTCACTCACATAATGGAAGTCTGTACAATAAAATCATTGCTTTTCCTCCCTCCTGCTATTTAATGAAATGGGGGAAGGAATCTGAGAAAGCTAAGCTTGTTTCACTGTGACCTATTGGCCATGCTTTTGAATCAATGATTCTCTTATTCAGTCCCTCCTCTTCCATTGGGACTAGATAGCCAATTCACTGATTCCAAATGATGGGCCAGCTCTTCATATCAATGGGCCAAGATGAATCCGGGACCCTAGAGCCAATCATTCCTATATTTTTTCTTTTAATTCACTTATAAGAGAAAATATACATTTTTGTTTTGATCTTAAAAGATCAGTACTTAGCACAGTGCCTGGCACACAGTGGGCACTTAATAAATGTTTACTGACTTGACTATAGGAGAGTAACCACGTAAGTCATCAGTCAACTAGGCTGTCATTAAAAACTTTTGGTCTTTAAGCCACACCCACACTAGACTCCTTGGACTCTAAATGGTAGCACAATCTCTACACATACCCCATCTCAACGGAGGTTTATTTAAAAAAAAAAAGCAGAAAAATAGTATCTATTCAATCTTTCCTAGAGAGTCTCTCCCATTCCTGTTTAGTACCATTATGTTTACATATATGTGGCATTATCAAAGTGACCATACCAGGATAAATGGTTGTTTGGAAGCAGGAGACATTCTTTAAAAGGTAGTTGCCTGCCAATACAAATATATAAATTAAGAAATTTACACCAATATAAACATTGAAACTTGTACTTGAGACAGTCCTTGATCATGTTTTGTTGGACTCAGGAAAATAAAGGTGGTTTTTCTATGAAGCTGGTACTGATGGTGAACTATGTTTAGACAAAGACCCTTTTTCTTTCGTACCCTCCATGAAATCCTTTGGTGTCATCAGGGCCTCTTGGCAACCTCAGTACTCCCACAGGTGACCCATCTGCATTCTGGACTTTCCGGGTGAGTAGCGGGCTGGCTGCCGGACTTTTCTCACGTGTTCCCCACTGGGCTAGTCGACGTCTCTGCACCCAGGGGCTACTGGAGGGAGTGATGCTGCTGTCTGAGGAATAATCCATACACTTCTGAACAATCTCAGGGCTGGCACTAGAGTTCAGTGTGACATCCTCAGCCAGTGGAGATTTCTTGGACACTCCTTTGCGCTGCACCAGAGGGCTGTTCCAAGGACTTGAGCGAGGGGAGGCATTTGGACTCAGGTGGTGGTTTTGATAGATGGAAGGACTAAGCTTGCTGGAGGCCATGTATCGGCGTTCTGCCATGGGGGATGTCGGATTACTCTCTGGGTCTGAGGAGCTATTAGCTGATGACTCATCACCCAGGTACTGAAGCTCCTCCACTCTCTTATTTAGGGTCTTATTTTGGTGGAAGCTCACGGCAGGTTCCTCCTCCTGGTTCTTATCTTTTGGTGCCTTCTTCTTGGGTGCTTTCATACCAATGAGGACAACTTTAATGCTGCCTTTGCTTGGAGATCCCATGCTCATGGACTCATGGGCCCTGATGGCAGCATCTACCTCTTCAAACTCCACAATTGCACACACTTGAGTCCCTACTTGACTGTACCGGCTGCTAAACTTCCGGATGTCTGGAGGCAACTCTTTCCCTGGCTTGAGAATTCGTACAGATGAGATGACTCCAAATGTTCCAAAGATCTTAAGAAGATGCTCCATGACCTTTTCCTGCAGTCTTCCATTCTCCTGAAGCACAGCCAGAGCCCATGGCTTGGGGAACAAGTGGAGGTCATAGACCAGCAGCATCCTACTGGGTTGATTTTCAACAGGAAAGAAAGGAACAGGTGTAATCCTCCTCACCTTCCGATGATCCTCATTCAACTCCAGTGTCTCTGAATACTTCAAAGCATAGGCTGTGGTTCTCCAGTCCCGAGTAAGGTGTTTCACCTGGAAAAGGCAAATTTGAAATTGCCTTATTTAACTACTCCTTCAGAATCATCAATCCTACACCAATGAGATCTATCTAGATCAGGAAGACTCATCTTCCTGAGTTCAAATCTGGCCTCAGACACTTACTAGCTGTGTGACCCTGGGCAAGTCACTAACCCTGTTTGCCTCAGTTTTCTAATCTATAAGATGAGCTGGGGAAGGAAATGGCAAACCACTCTAATGGATTTGCCAAGAAAAACCCAAAAGATGTCACAAAGAGTCAGACATAACTGAAAATGACTGAACAACAACAAAAATATTTCTACAACTAAAGATATTATTTTTTAATTTAAATTTTTTGAATTAATAAAAATCTATTTTTTTTCTTTTTCCCACCTAGGGAAGGGTACCAAGAAGAATAAACCGTATACATCATCAATCAACCAAATTTCCCCTAAAAAGAAGTCCTTTGGGCCTTAGAATAACATACTCCACCAACCCCCTTGGGATTGAGATAATAGCACACTCTTTACACATACTTCATCTTAAGGAAGAAACTATGGTTGTTACTGTTCCCGTTATTTTTCTAAATAGCCACTGGTCAATCTTTCCTAGGTATTCTCTCCCACTCTTTCTTAGAACCATCACCCTTAAATATATGTAGTATCATTAAAACTGGTAAAAAAGGAAAACAAAAGCCTTTTAAACAAGTATGCATAGTCAAACAAAACAAATTGTCACACTGGTCACGTCCAAAAAAATATGTGTCTCAATTTGCACAATGAGTGCACCACTTCTTTGTCAGGAGGTAGGCACCATACTTCATCACGAGTTACAATTAAGGATGCTAAGTAAAGAAACATTAAAGTGAGAGAGCTCAGAGATTTTAAAATCCAAAACAGAAAAAAGGATTCCCAGAAAAGAGTTATCTCAAATACAATCTGATTCTCCTTCTCTGTGCTCACGAGTACCTCTGGGACTTACATTTAGTCCAAAAGTGCTCTAGGGTCTCCTTGCAACATTTCAGATGAGAACAGGAGAATGCCTCAAATTAGACCTCAGAAACATGGAATGGGACAGAGGACCTAGGTTTTGGAGGGAAAACCATTGGAGAGAAATGCTTTGCTTCAGGGCTCTTTGCATTTGAATGGTGTGAAACAATCTGCCAAAGTGCACAAGATAACTTGTGGAAATGATCTTCTAGTTGCATGACTCATCAAGCTTACTTAAGCTTGTTTCCTTCCTGGCCAGCAAGCACGGTTCTCATCAAGGAACAATTGATCTACTTTCACATTTTCTCTCACTATACTGAAATATATGGGGATGGTTCCCCCTCCTCCTCTCCCACCTCCACTCCTAGGACTATAAAACTACCTACAATGACAGAAGCACCTGTTGGGGGCTCTCCATCTCCCTCCTTGATAAGACTGCAATCAGAAGAAGCCATTTCAACCACAGTCAGACCTTAAGAGACCCAAAGAGAGGCAGGGTGGTGGAGTCAGAGGCCCTGGCTTCAAATACGGACTCAGCTACTTATTGTCTGTGTGACTCTAGGAAAGGCATTTAACCTTTCCAGGTGAAATGTGGGATGTGCAAATTTAGGGACATTTCCACTCCAAATGTTCATAGGGAATATTGGTGTCTGACCTGTAAAAGAGCCTTCTGGGCTTGCAGTGGTCTGATCAGCCACATTGGACACACTGTTCCTTGACCCCAATGTAGGGAGGTCAACCAACCTTCCTAGGCTTCAGTTGCTCATCTGTAAAATAAGTGGGTTGGACTAGAATGCCTCTAAGCTTTGAATCTTAAACCTTACATTTCAAGAAACTTCTCATAATGAGCTAATAATAAGGGGTGCAATGGATGGAGCGCTGGGCCTGGAGTCAGGAAGACCCATCTTTCTGAGATCAAATTTGGCCTCAGATCCTTGCTGTGTGACCCTGGGGAAGTCACTTAACCCTGTCTGCCTCAGTTTCCTCATCTGTCAAATGACCTGGAAAAGGAAATGGCAAGCCACTGCAGTATCTTTGCCAAGAAAACCCGTCTCAAATAGTTGGACTCAACTGAAAAACAATTAAATAACAACTCGCAGGCTACCTTCTGCTACTTCCTAACCCTCAGATTACTGATACAACCTACTAATTGAAGAGTTTGTATTTCACAGAACCTTAGGGCTGCTGGAACTGTTTTGAGGCCAGCTAGTCTGTGCCTTCACACAGCCTTCCTCCCGATATCCATGCACCTAGAGTTATTCTGTGATCAAAGTGACACTCTGGCAATTCCCTTTTATAATTATCTGTAGTTCCAATCTGAGAATATTTCATAGTAGCTAACCTAAATCCCTTCTCCTATTATTTAAGCTCATATCCTCTTCTGGCCTTAGTAAATGGAGATGGAAAATTATTGATCTGATATAGTAGAAATTTGTTTTGTTTGACTATACTTACTTGTTTCAAGAGAGGGTTTTTATTTTGGGGGTCCAATATCAGGAGAGTAGGGTGAACCAGGGGGTAGTGATAGTGATGCCAAAAAAAAAATAAGAGAACCAATGAAACCTTTAAAGATACATAAATGAGAGAAGGGAGTTCATAAGGGGATGTAGACAAGCAAAGTAATGTTGGACCTAAAGTCAGGAAGGTAGAGCTGGGTTCAAATGCCATCTCAGATACTTATAAGATATGTGACCCTGGGCCAGTCACTTAACCTCTATCTGCCTCAGCTTCCTGCAAAATGTAAATAACAACAGCACCTACCACTCAGGGCTGTTGTGAGGATAACATGAGATAAAATTTGTAAAGCACTTTGAAAATCTTAAAGCACTATATAAACATTAGCTATTAAATATGTTTATGTATATGTACTGACATATTTTATGCAATACATTCATAGTTTCACACACAATCCCCTCTTTTCTGGCTTTCTTTGTATATGAAAATGTTCATGTTTGTCGATGACTTTCTAATTCACAATTTTAAAATGTTCAAAGAACATTATTGGTCAGTCAGAACCACAAGAAAAATAAGCCAATTGTCCTTGAGTGCCTTGAAATAGCTTCCTCAAATTTGGTCTTACCTTCTTGAAAGATGTGAGTAGCTTGACACTCACATAGCCCTGCTTGTTCCTTCTAACGTGTTTGAGGAGGAAGGCGTCTTTTTCTAGGTTTTCATCCGAGAAATAGAACTCAATCTGATCAACCAGCTTCAAGATTAACTCATAGCTTGGTGGCTTCCAGTCCTGGTCCTGGTCAGAACCATCATTCTCTCCTCCGCTTGTAGTCGTACCACTAAAACCAGATGAGAAATGCTTAATTTGTGAAGCTAGTAACCATTCTACAGTTGGTCACTGGAGAAAAGGTGGCCCCACAGTGAGGGTGATGTTTTTAAAGTGTTAAATTTTCTTTTTTAGAAAGGGATGAATTTGTGATACAATATTATCTGCCCCTACACACTCATGACTCAGTTGTAGATAGTGAGTACCCCAGGGAGCTGCATATTTAACTCAAATTAGTAGAACTGGAAAACCAGCGCTCCAGGGCCTCTGTCACATCTGGAATGTGCTGACTTCACAAAAGAACTGCTTCAAATTTGGTTCCTACCTACACTTCAACCTAGTGTTCAAAAACACCCCCATCTTAAAACATACTATTCACCTCCTAACAGAGGTAATAGATTTAGGGTATAGAATGAGACATGGGACAGCTAAATAGTGCAGTGGTTGGAAGGCTGGGCTTGGAATCAGGAAGATCTGAATTCAAATCCAGCCTCAGACACCCACTGTCTGTGTGATCCTGGGCAAGTTACTTAATCCTGTTTGCCTCAGTTTCCTCATCTATAAAACGAGCTGGAGAAGAAAATGGTGAACCACTCAAGTATCTTTGCCAAGGAAACCCCAAATGGGGTTATGAAGAGTCAGACGTGACTGAAATGACTTAACAACAAAAATTATTTTATATAAATTATATACATATATATAAATCAGTCATACCTTTTGCAATTCAATTTTGAAAAAGAAATTTTTGACAAAATGTGGACACTGACAGAGGAAAGGAAGTATAAGAAGAATTTAAAGTCATTAATCCATAGGAAGCCTGTAGACTATTTTAAAGTATCTTATTTGAAGCCCATGAAAAATGAGTACTATCTTAAACTGTATATGGTCTCGAGACCCACAGTTTAAGAAGCACTAAAGGTGTTCATGAGTGAAAAACATTTAAGAAGCCAAAAAATTCTGGGCTTTTGGAACCTGGGGGTTGGGGGAGAGGAAAGGTGGACAGAAGACAACAAAGAGCCTAACACAATCCTGTCTTACTGACTAGTAATGCCAAAGAAACCATCATGATGAAGAAATATCTTTCAAAAAGCACAGGAATCACTCAAGGGAAAAGTAGAAAGGGAAGCTCCAAAGGTGTGACAAGTCAGGTATAAACTTCAAAGGAAATAGTCTTATAAAAAAATTGGGAGACCACTAGCTAAATCAAAATATGATGTTCTTTATGTGTATCAAAGGGAGGATGCCAGCTCAAGAATCAGCACAATGATCTCAATGCAAAATGTGACCAAGAAATGAAAAGCTGATGTCAAACAGATCATATAAATTTCACACCTTGTTCTTTGCAAGTTAAGTTGTTGGAAAGATTCCACTCCCAGGTTCCCCTTTGCAACAGAGGCTGGAGGGGTGATGCAGGAACTGGGTGTCTCCTAATCATGGAGCTATTCAAGTAAGGGCTGCATGAACACTTGGCAGAGATATGATAGAAAAAGGATTCGAGTTTGGGTGAGAAGCTGGATTAAATGGTCTCAAAGGCCCCTTTCACATCTACGGTTCGTGATACCAGATCTAATAATCATAAAAGCACAGGGTGTCTGTACCTGGTGACAAAAAACTAGATAGGGATAAATCACAGGGATAAAGATAAATCACAAGAATTGGAAAGCATCCACCCAAGGATTTTATAGGATGTTAAAGGTGAAACTGTGTAATTGTTTATCAAAATGCATAACCTATTACTTAAATGAACACTTACTATGGGACTAGAAAGTAGAGAATGCAGTTCTTGCTCTTATAAGGATTTCCATAGGGGATCAGAGAAACAACAGATCAGTGAGTTTATTATATATCAGGCAATCCAGAAGACTCCATAATGAAGCATACATTTCATTGAACATTTAAGTAAATACTGTACATTGGAGCTATGTGGCTGCAAATAATGGGAGATCACAATTTGTAAAGAATCACAAATTGCAGATGACCCAAAAAGCAGTGTTATATGAGGCTCGAATGAGATGTATCAAATGAAATAACCTATGTGAATGTGTTTTGTAAACTGCAAGGTACTGCACGAATGAAAGTTAAGATGGTTGTTCTCATGCAAGTTTATTATTAATAATGGTTGGTTTATAAACTCTCAGATAATAAATGGAGAAAGGAAGTCTATGATATATGTCGGATAAAAAGCCATGTGTTATTTATTTGTAGTGTGAAAGACAGGCAGCTTTGAGAGAAGGATGGAACAGGATGGTTAGTGCGTTCTGAATATTTTATCTCCACTGAGTTTATGTCAGCTTCTCTGCAGGGGCCCTTAGGGTCAGCTTTATTCCAGATGCCAGCATGTAGCAGGAGCTGTATCAGAGAATTGCCTAGGGAGCGCCACTGGGCACTGGAAAGAACAGCCCACCAGGTGGGAGTCTGAAGAGTTGAGGGTAAAGGTTGAACAGGTAGGAAGAACCAGGAACCAAGACTTGTCTGAAGAAGCTCTGGTGCCAAGGGGATTTAACTTCTGTTGCTGATAAAATCTACACAGACATAATGAGAAGTTGTTTTCTATAGCCACAGCTAAATCTCATCAGTACCAGACACTGCATATTACCTTCCCCCTCCCCCTTGCAAAGCCTTGCTGAATGTTTAGTTACTTAAAGTCAGAGTGGGTTTCTGCAAGCAGAGTATTCTGGGCAAGTCAAGACACTGTGTATTAGAATAGGAGTTATTAACCTGGAGTCTTAAAGGGGATTTCAGGAGGAATGTGTAAACTTAGCTATGAAAAAATTACATGATTATTTTGACACAATTTATTTACTTTGTAATCCTATATATATTATTTTTATGCATTTAAGAACATTATTCTGAGAAGGGGTCCATAGGCTTTACCACAGTGTCAAAGGAGTCTGTGATTTGAAAAAAAAAATTTTAATATTTGCAATAGAGAAATAATCCCTTCTTTGAAGCTCTAGCAAGGTGTTCTTGTACTACCCTGCCTCTTAGAACAAGCAGTGAATGGGGGGGGGGGAATGTATTATCTTATTTCTATCGTGGGTGTGTTTCTCTAGCTGCATTTTTTAGCCACCTAACATTAATTAAGCACCTACTCTGTGCCAGGCTTTGTGCTAAATGCTGCAGATACAAAGGAAGGCAAAACAGAGTCCCTGCTGATAAGGATCTCACAGTCTAATGGTAACAACATGCAAACAACTATGTGCAAAGAAGAAATATGAACAGAATAAATTGGAGATTATTGAGAAGGGAGGCACTAACATTGAGGAGGGTGGTGAAAGACTTCTTGTAGAAGATGAGATATTAGCTGGGACTTGAGCGAAGTCAGCTAGGAGATGGAGATGAGGAAGCAGAGTCTTCTAGATATTTGGGAAAGCCTGGGGAAATGTGGGAAGCTGGAAGATGGAGTGTCTTGTGCTTGGAGCAACAAGGAAGCCGGTGTCACTAGATTGCAGAGTATGTGGAGAGGAATATGGTGCAAGGAGACTGGAAAGGTAGAAAGGGGTCAGGTATTAAGGGCTTTCAAAGCCAAAGGGCATTTTACACTTGACCCTGGAGGTAACAGGGAGTTGCTGGAGTTGATTGAATAAATAAGGGGAGGGGGTGACTGACAGCTTTGCACTTTAGGCAGATCCTTTTGGCAGCTGAGTAGAGGGCATATTGGAATGGGAAGAGCCTTGTGGCAGAGAGACCAGTTAGCAAGCTGTTGCAATTGTCTAGATGTGAGGTGATAAGGGTCTGAATCAAGGCTGGGGTACTTTCAAAGGAGAAAAGGAGGCATAAAGGAAAGATGTTACCAAGATAGAATCGACAGGACTTGACCACTGATGAGATGGGGAAGGCAGAAGAGTTCAGAGAGAATAAGCAATTAGGGATGCCACCTAGGTTGTGAGTCTAGAAGACTAATAGAAAAATGCCCACAAAGACCCCAATGACCTAGAAAATAAAAGAGATGGGCATGAGTGATGGTAAAGATTGAAAGATTCATTTCTTAATGAAATAGAATTTTTCCAAGCAAAAGATGTTTGAAAACTATTACCCAACTTGAATGGAAGCAATTATTACCAATGGATTGTAAATTCCTCCTCTTGATTTAGATCACAGTTGTGTCTCCATATCTATCTTTGTATACCCAGTTGATAGCATAGTACCTTTTTACACGGTAGGTGTTTAATCAATGTTTGCTGAATCACTTTCCAAAAGATGAAGAAGTCTCCTCTCTTGACCAGTGGTCTGCCTTTTATCCTGCTTCTTTCACCCTATATCCTTTCTAGGTACATGAAACTTCACTTTCATTCCTTAGGCTTTCTTGTATTATAACAAGCTTGATAAATGGTACTTCAAGGATCTTGTGCTATTTAATATTTTTAATCAATGATTTAAATAAAGGTATAGATGACATGCTTATCACATCTGCAGATTAAATGAAGCTAGGAGAATAGCTAACACACTGGATAAAAGGGTTACGATTAAGAAAGATTTGAACAGTTTAGCACATTGAGGCCAATTCAAATAAGATAAATTTAATAGGGATCTGTCAACAAGCATATATTAAGGGCTTGCTGTGTGCTAGGCACTGTGCTAAGTGTAAAAGAAAAACATTCCCTGTCCTCAAGGAGCTTACATTCTTTTTTTTGGTGGGGGGAGACAAAATGGATTCTAAATAAGTTTATATCAAATACGTACAAGATCAATCAATACCAGGTATTTTGGGGGGAGAGAGGTCACTACCACTCAGAAGCATCAGGCAAGATCTCATGTAGATTCAAAAGGGTTCTTTATTTGGGGTCCACAGACCTTCTAAAAATACATGGATATATTTAAAGGGGTCTGTGAACTGGAATGGGAAAAATTACATCTTTATTTTCACTAATCATTAGTTTCCTTTGCAATCTTATGTACTTTATTTTATGCATTTAAAAATATTGTTTGGAGAAGAGATCCACAGGCTTTATCATATTGCCAAAGGGATCCATGACACAAAAAGTTAAGAGCCCCTGATATAAAAGGTAGCGCTTCAACTTAGTCTAGAAGGAAACCAGGGATTCTAAGATGTGGAGGTGAGGAGGTGGAGCATTCCAGGTGTGGGGGACAGCCAGCATAAAGGCACAGAGATGGGAAATGTCTCTGTGTGGAACAGTAAGTAAGCCAGTGTACCTGGATCATGGAGTTCGTGGATGGATAAATTCAAAGAATTATATTTGGATTCCAAATGTCAACTTTATAAGCATGAGATGGCAGGAGGCATGCATGGCTAGATATCAACTCATCTGGGGATTTTAGGAGACTGCAAGTTCAGTGTGAGTCAAGAGTTTGAAACAATGTTAATGTGACATTAGCCTGAAGTAAGAGAGGCAAAGCATACAGAAATAAGGAAGTAATAGTACTAATGACATCTATACTCATCCTAGCAAGTTGTACACAACAGAGATCTATAGTTTCACATACAATCCTCTTTTTCTGTTCTATTATGTATAGGGAAGTATCTGCTAATATTTAATAAGAGCTTTGTAAATCCTGAATTTCTACTTGAATGTTAGCCATCATCATCATCACCATCATTTGCTATTTACGTTCAGAATAAAAATTTTTAAAAATTAAAAAAATCTTTACATTGGTCTGATCATTCTCTTACATTAGGTTTAGCTCAGGATTCTTTATTTTAAGAAGAACATGAATAAGTTGGAGAGTAACCAACGAACAGGGAGCCAGGACAGTGAAAGACACCACTACACAAAACAGTGCTATTAGAGAAAAAGTATACCTTTGCAAGTGATATTCAACAATTGGTCACATTTTCACTATTTCATAATTAACTGAAAGTAGAACATATAAGATCCCATTGTGCTTCCTGTTTGTTGATTATAAAAAATAACCTATAACAAAATACTACCTTACAGGTAGACTCTTTTACAATAAGGTGTTTCCCAAACATACATCAAGATCATTCAAAATTCATTAGAAGATTCAATAACAGAAATAACCCCAGTCAATGACCTATTAATAAACATCCAGTGAAGCACAGAACAGGGAAACGTATGCTCACCAGAGGTGAACGTACACTTATGCTTAATACCAATCATTGATTTAAAACTATGTCAGGATCACCATCCAAAGGGATCCTTCTTCCATCTGAATTCTGCACTGGACCTCCTTCATCACAGATAACACTGTGATGTTTGAATCAAGCCCTAGAATACTGGAGAATCTTTTGGAAGAGATTTGTCATCATTCAAAGGAGTCTGTCCAAGTGGATGAAGGAAATCTACTTTTCAGATTTCTACATGGATTCACATAGATATTCTATAAAGTTCAGCTAACAATATGTATATCTGAGGCAGAAAGTAGAATTGGATAAGAAGTTAAGAAAATAATTGAATCAAAGGAAGAGGGCCAGCTGCAATGCTTTTGGGAAATTGCAAAGCTCTTTTTAAGTGATCCCAAGCTTCCTATGAAAGTCAAGGCTCATCTTTTCAATATAAACATTTCAATGGTGTTGCTATGTGGCAATGAGACAAGAGGAAAACAACTGCTTGCAAATAACAAAAAAAAAATTGGGGATCACACAGAGGGCAATGGAGAAGCATATGTTGAGTGGCAGCAATAACCAATAAGAAACTCCAAGATGGGTTGGTCAAGTTGCAAGAGTAAGGAATGAGGGGTAGACAGCCAAAGACCTCCACTGCTACCCTTGTGATGTTGGCAAAAGCGAGGAAGGTCTTCAGCACATTAGGTTGATTCCCATGTCAAATTTTTGGGAGGATATGAACTGGAGTTGCACAGATGACATTGCAAGTACAGAGAGGCCACAATCTGCGCTGCTGGAAGGCACTCCTGGATCAGTGAAGCCACAGATGCATGATTACTTGAGTTATCACGCAGAAGAGAGCTTAGACATTTTCTCTTTCCTACAGAATGCAGATCTAAAAGTAATGGATGAGTGTTTCAAAGAGGAAAATTTATGTCTAATGTAAGCAAAAACTTCAAGCTATCCAAAATGGAATAGGCTGCACAGAGGGTAATAGGTTACTCCTCATTGGGATTATAGATTTAGACCTCTGAGGTCATCCAAGTCAACCCCCTCATTTTACAGACATGGAAATTAAGGTCCAGAGTGGTTAAGTGATTTATCAAGTTCACACTGGCAATAAGTAGCAACATAGGGATTTGAACTTGGTTCCTCTGTTTACAAATCCTGCACTCTTCCTACTATGCCACTCAGTGGGTTTCAAGCAAAACCTGGATAACTCTGTGTCATGCATGTTGTAGAGAGGATTCTTTTTCAGGTCTGAACTAGCCTGGATGGCTGCTAAGTTGGGTCACTCAATTCTGAAATTCTGTGAATACTGTGACATGGAAGCCAAACAAGCTAACGTCATTTTAGACAACATTGAGGGGCATAATGTCTATGACTAGGAAGGTGACATTCCCACTGTACCCTGCCTTGGTTAAACATTTATTATACTGCATACAAATCTGGGTGCCAGGTTTTAGGAAGAGCTGGAGAGCACCCAGAGGACACTAAATGGTTAAAGGCCTCATGTTCATATTATGAGAATCAACTGAAAGAACCAGAGGTATTTAGCCTGCACAAGAAAAGACTTTGGGACAATATGATAGCTGTCATGTGGGAAAAGGGGTGATTAAATTTATTCTCTGGGACTCAAAGAGTAGAACCAAGCGCAATAGTTGGAAGTTGGAAAGAGGCCAATTTGAACTTGATAATAGGAAAAATACTTCTTCATGATTTGAGCTATCCAAAAGCAGAATGGACTGCCTTAGAAGCTGTGGGAAGTCTTCAGGCAAAATACTGAAGATCACTTAGTGGCTATGGTAGGGAGGGGATTCTTTTTTCCTTTTGGGCTGGACTTGATGGCCTGTGAGGTCCTTGAAACCATGACCCCTGACTGATGATTAAGGCTCAGAAGTTGAAACACTGAAGCCTCCTAGAGCAAACATAGGAAAGAGAGTCTCTTGATACTACAAGAGTCCCACCCCTTTGAATACTAGACCCAGTATTATGAATCTAACAGTATTGTGAAGCATGGAATTCAGATGGTTAGGACACTGACGGCAGGTACTAGTTAGTGGGGATACAACAGGCTTATGCAAAAAAAAAAATACTTCTTGGGCTTTACCTAGAATTAAGACACTGATCAGCAGGTTTGAGAAACCTAAAAATCACAGAATGTCAAAGCTGAAAGACACCTTCAACATCATCAAGCCTTCAGTTCCTTCACTTTATAAATGAGGAAACTGAGGCCTTGAGAAAGGAAGTGATTTGGCCAAGATAATACAGCTAATCAACGGCCAAACTGGGACTAGAACCCCAAGCAATGTTCCTCTACAACCAGAATAAGTCAATTTATATTATAAGGCATAATATGCTAAACTGACTGCTTGACTGGTATAGACTGTTAAAACTGTTGAATACTACAGCTTGGGGGATGCTAGAAGTGACAGAACTTAGCAAATAGATAGCTAAGAGTTCATGAATTAATCCTTCTGTGAGTCTACCTTTATGCCACTTACGAATCTACAAATCTCTCATCACTCACTCTGGGGTGGGGGTGACAGAGACAGAGACAAAGAGAGGGAGAGAGGAAGAGACAGAGACAGAAAGCACTCAAAAGGAGACAGCTTGGATTACATAGAATATAATAGAGGAGTGGGTAGCAATACTCTTTTATCACGCTCTTTGCACTGGGGGGAGCTCAGCTCTTACAAAAAAAAATGTGGATTTAGGTGTAGACAGCTAGACAAAGTGAGTAACAGCTGGGACTAGTACATCAGTGTCCTTTTCCATAGGCATGACTGACCCAACCCAAATGATTGATATGGAGTTTTTGGCAGCCCTGGCTTACAGGACATCAACGGCTCCCTAAACTCTGCACCTCCGATGGCCAGCCACTGGGAAGACAGAGATGGAGATGCTGCTCTCTGAAAGAAAAACCTCAGAGTCTACGATAACAGAATCGTGTAGATCGAGAATGGGGCCCACCAGACTTATATGGGCCCCTCCCACCGTCCTGTGGGGAAGGGGCCGGGATGTGGTGCAGGCTGTGTGAGTGTCTCCCAACAAGCGCGCGATCTGGGTGCCCCGCGCTAGCTCTTCCAGCCCCAGGGAACCTGGGGAGGGGAAAGTCTGAGCCCTAGTGCAGAACAGCCCTTGCTGCCTGTCTGGTCTGGCGCGCTATCGCCCATGCGGTTGTCCAGACCGCCCCCTCCCCTCCCCTTCTCCATTCCAAAGCACCCCGTAGCCCTCTCCAGGCCTTTCCTGCTCTCGTACCTGTGCCCGCGGCTAGGCTCATCCTCGCTGGCACTGCCCCATCCGGGGCTGAGATAGCGAGCCGAGTCCCCGTCGTCTTCCCCTTCCCCGATGCCCCCCCATCGCGGCCCCAACCTCTTCTCCCCCTCCTCTTCGGCCGCCTGGATGGCTACTCGAATCTGCACCGGATTCTTAGTCCGGGACCAAGCCTCGTATTGCTCCTCCTCTCCCAATGCATCCTCTTGTTGCCCTGCGCCGTCCCAGCCGCCCACCTCAATCGGCTGAGCCATGGCGGAGCCGGAGAGCAGGCGGAGCCGAGGGGCTGAGGCTGGGAGCGTGGCGGTCTCCCCTGCCTGCGCTAGGACTGCCTGCCAGATCGGGGGCGGCGGCAGCGGGAGACTGGCTGGGGATCTGGGAGGGGAGGGACTTGAGGGGTCGGTGCTGCCCCCTCTGCAGGCGGGCCGGCCTCCCTAGCAGCAGATCTGGTTCGCCCAATACTAGGCTGAACCTCTCCTTTTAAGGGAAGCGGGGTGGGGGAGGCTGGAGGGTGAGTCAATTTCATTTGTGCTTTTTGCGTCGCGATCGGGGGTCAGCTGACGCCCGTCAGGGAATTAACCCCCCAATTCCCGATACTCCACCTTCCCTCCACCCTCATCCGTCTCATGTTGCACGGAAGGAAGGGGCCCTAGGCAGGAGAGAAGGTAGCATTTAGGATTATGGGAACTACAGTGATAACTCAGAGAAAACCTAGGAGATTATATAGGACCACCTCACACTTCACAGATGGGAAACTGAGGCTCAGAGTAAATGACCTATCCCATAGGTAACAAGCGGTAGAGCTAGTTTTGAATCTTGAGCCTCTGGCTCCAAATCTAGGTCATCATAATCTCTCAGGCTTGCGCCTACCTTCATCAATGATCTTGATAGTGATGCAGAAGGTTATCCTCCCAGATGATTGAATGACAGGAATTGCCTAAGGGGGTCAAATCCCCTGGCCTGCCAAAGTCTGCCAAAGGGCATTCCCATCAAAGGTCCTCTGGATTAAGGCCTGAAGTACCCAGTTCAAATACAATCATGTTACATGTAGCAATACAAATAACACTCTTAGGAGGATTTTTGTGAGTCGTGATACTACTTTTTAAGCTCAAACTCCTTTGTTGAAAGTTAGCTGGCCTGATCAGAACCCTCAAGGAATGGGGCACAAGACAAATTCAATTTTGTGCTAGAGGGCAAGGTACAGGAAGGATCCAGATGATGGAGGTGTTTGGGAGAGCAGGTCCAGGTTGGGATATTAAAGGAAAATAGGGACAGTGAAAGAAATGAGACGGAAGCACAGCAAAAAAAAAAAATTGCATCTACTTCACAATTTTAGCTCAGAGCCATGTAGTCATCCATTTCCAGGTTTAAGTTTCCTTCATTCTCTTTTTTAAATGGTATTTTATTTTCCCTCAATTACATGTAAAAACAATTTTTAACATTTTAAAGTACTGAGTTCCAAATTCTATCCTTCCATCCCTCCTCTCTTCCTTCCCTTAGACAATAAGCAATGTGATACAGGTTATACATATACAATCATGTAAAACATATCCGTATTAGTCATTTCTGTGGAAGAAAACTCAAGCAAATAAATGAAAGAAGGGAAGAAAGTGAAATATAGTATGCCTCTGTCTATATCTAGATCCCATCAGTTCTTTCTCTGGAGGCAGATAACAGTTTTTCATCATGAGTCCTTTGGGATTGTCTTGGATTGTTGAATTGCTGAGAATAGCTAAGTCATTCATGGTTGTTCATTGTACAATATTGTTGTTACTGTGTAACATTCTTTTGGTTCTGCTCACTTTACTCTGCATCAATTCATGTAAGTCTTTTTAGGTTTTTCTGAAATTGTCCTGCTCATCATTTCTTATAGCACAATAATATTCCATTACAATCATATACTGCAACTTGTTCAACCATTCCCCACTTGATGGACATGCCCTCAATTTCCAATTCTTGGCCACCACAAAAAGTTTCTATAAATATCTTTGTATAAATAGGTCCTTTTCCCTTTTTTTTTTTGGATGTCTCTGGGATACAGATCTAGTATTGCTGGATCAAAAGATAAGGACAGTGTTATAGCCCTTTGGGCAGAGTTCCAAATTGCTCTCCAGAATGATTGGACAAGTTCACAATTCTACCAAGAGTGCATTAGTGTCCCAGTTTTCTCAAATCCCCTCCAACATTTATCATTTTCCTTTTCTGTCATACTAGCCAATCTGATAGGTGTGAGGTGGTACCTCAGAATTGTTTCAGTTTGCATTTCTCTAATCAGTAGTGATTTAGAACATTTTTTCACATGACTATAGATAGCTTTGATTTCTTTATCTGAAAACTCTGTTCATATCTTTGACCAATTATCAATTGGGGAATGACTTGTATTCTTATAAATTTGACTCAGTTCTCTATATATTTGAGAAATGAGGCCTTTATTAGAGATACTTGCTATAATTTTTTTTACCAAGTTTTCTGCTTTCCTTCTAATTTTTGTTGCATTGGTTTTGTTTGTAAAAACCTTTTTTAATTTAATATAATCAAAATTATCTATTTTACATCTAGTAATGCTCTCTGTCTCTTATTTGGTCATAAATTCTTCTCTTCTCCAAAGATCTGACAGATAAACTATTCCATGCTCCCCCAATTTGCTTATGATGTCACCCTTTATGTCTAAATCATATACCCATTTTGACCGTATCTTGGTAAATGGTGTAAGATGTTGGTCTATACCCAGTTTTTACCATTCTGTTTTCCAAGCAGTTTTTGCCAAATAGCGAGTTCTTGTCCCAATAGCTTGGATCTTCGGGTTTATCAAACACTAAATTACTGTGGTCATTTATTATAGCATATTATGTACCTAATCTATTCCACTGATCCACCACTCTATTTCTTAGTACCAGATTTTTTAGATGATTACTGCTTTATAATACAGTTTGAGCTCTAGTATAGCTAGGCCACTTTCCTTCACTTTTTTTTTCCCATTAATTCCCTTGATATTCTTGACCTTTTGTTTTTCCGGATGATTTTTGTTATTATTTTTTCCAGCTCTATAAAATAATTTTTTGGTTGTTTTGTCATTATGGAACTAAGTAGATTAGTTTAGGTAGAATTGTCATTTTTATTATATTGGCTTGGCCTACCAGTGAGCAACTGATATTTTTCCAATTGTTTAGATTTTACTTTATTTGTGTGAAGTGTTTTGTAATTGTGTTCATATAGTTCCTGAGTTTGTCTTGGCAGGTAGACTCCCAAGTATTTTATATTGTTTATGGTTATTTTAAATAGAATTTCTCTATCTCTTGCTGCTAGACTTTGTTGGTAATATATAAGGATGATTTATATGGGTTTATTTTATATCTTGCAATTTTGCTAAATTGTTAATTATTTCAATTAGTTTTTTTTCAGTTGATTCTCTAGGATTCTCTAAGTATACCATCTTATCATCTGCTAAGAGTGATAGTTTTGTTTTCTCATTGCCTATTCTAATTCCCTCAATTTCTTTTTCTTTTCTTATTGCTAAAGCTAACATTTCTAGTACAATATTGAATAATAGTGGTACTAATGGGCATCCTTGCTTTGCCTCTGACCTTGTTGGGAAGGATTCTAGCTTATCCCCATTTCAGATAATGCTTACTGACAATTTTACATGTACACTTCCTGTCATTTCAAAGAACACTCCATTTATTCCTACTCTCTCTAGTGTCTTTAATAGGAATGAGTGTTGTATTTTGTCAAAGGCTTTTTCTGCATAGATAATCTTATGATTTCTGCTGGTATTATTATTGATATGATCAATTATGCAGATAGTTTTCCTAATATTGAAGCAGCCCTACATTCCTGGTATAAATCCCACCAGGTCATATGATTCTTGTGATTATATTGCTATGATCTCCTTGCTAGTATTTTGTTTAAATTTTTGCATCAATATTTATTAGGGGAATTGATCTATAGTTTTCTTTCTCTGTTTTTACTCTTCCTGGTTAAAGTATCAATACCATATTTGTGTCATAAAAGGAATTTAGTAGGATTCCTTCTTCACCTATTTTTCAAAATAGTTCATATAGTACTGGGATTAATTGTTCTTTAAATGTTTGGCAGAATTCACTTGGGAATCCATCTGGGCCTGGGGATTTTTTAGGGAATTTTTTTAGGGATTTTTAGGAGATTTTTTGAAGGGAATTCATTGTAGGCCTGTTCAATTTCTTTTTCTAAGATGGGGTTATTTTTTCTTTTGTTAATCTGGGAAATAGATATTTTTGTAAATTTTCATCCATTTCACTTAGATCGTCAAATTTATTGGCATATAACTGGCCAAAATAGCTCCTAATCGTTGCTTTAAATTCCTCTTCATTTGTGGTGAATTCACCCCTTTAATTTTTAATACTGGTAATTTGGTTTTCTCATTTCCTTTTCAAAATCAAATTAACCAATGTTTTATCTATTTTACTGGTTTTTCATAAAACCAGCTTCCAATTTTATTTATTAATTCTATGATTTTATTGCTTTCAATTTTATTAATCTCTCCTTTGATTTTCAATTGGGGATTTTTAATTTTTTCTTTTTCTAATTTGTTGTGGGTTTTTTTTTTTGTTATAAGCCCACTTCATTGATCTATGCTTTCTCTGTTTTACTGTAGAAGCATTTAGAGATATGAAATTTCCCCTAGGTACTATTTTGGCTGCATCCCATAAGTTTTGGTATGTTGTTTGATTTTTGTCATTCCCTTTAATGAATTTATTGGTTATTTCTTTGATTTGTTCTTTAACCCACATATTCTTTAGGATTAAACTATTTAGTTTCCAATTTTTAATCTGTCTTTCCACTGTTCTCTATTGAATGTAATTTTTATTGCATTGTGATCTGAAAAGGATGCATTTAATATTCCTCCTTTTGGGTTGTGAGGTTTTTATGCCCTAATTTGTGTAGGTGCCACGTACCACTAAGAAAAAAGTATATTCCTTTCTATTCCCATTGAATTTTCTCCAGATGTCTACCACATCTAACCTTTATAAAATTCTGTTCACCTCTTCATTTATTTTTTTGATTATACTTATCTAGTTCTGCGAGGGGAAAGTTGAGGTCTCCCACTAGTATACTTTTATTGTCTATTTTCCCCTGTAACTCATTTAACTTCTTTAAAAATTTGTATGCCAGATAAACACCCTGCAGCACCCATCTAAAAGGAGCTGAAGAAAGCTAAAGGAAAGGAAAAGTAGGCAACCTAGAATTGCCTGAAGGTTCCAGCCTTGCTGATTCCAGCCCAACACCAGGTAAGCTGCCAGAAACCTACAGCCTCCAATTGCCAGCATAAGAGGCCCCAGCACACAAAGCCAGTGACTAAGACCTAGGCTCCCAACACAAGAAGCTTGGGTCAGTACCCTCTGTTCCCCAGCAGGAGAGCTCAATCTTTTTAAAGGCCAGGGAATAAAGAAACACCATGAGTAAAAAGAA